CGTCCTCCATGTCCCCTACTTCTTCCTCTGCTCCCCATACACAGCATCACCTGACGCCATCGTCTCTTTATTTGTAGCTTCTGCTTATTTTCTTGCTGTATCCTTCTCCCTCCGCCATTCATCACTATCAGTGTATGAGAGAGGAGACATTGTTGGCCTGTGCCTAGGGGCAATGTTACTGGAGAGGAGCTTTCCACTCTCTGTCCAAGCCAATCCATCTATGATCTATCTATCTATCTATCTATCTATCTATCTATCTATCTATCTATCTGTCTGTCTATCTATCCAGCCTGCCCAGGGCCCAAGGCTAGGGGAGGCCCATTGACAGGGACTGGGCATGGGTGGTGGGAGGGGCTGGCAGGGTGCTGTACATAGCCCAGTGACACCATCACTGGGTCCATGTGCAAAGCCGACAGATCATGGGTGGTGGGAAGGGCTGGCAGGGTGCTGTACATAGCCCAGTGACATCATCACTGGGTCTCTGTGCAAAGCTGACAGATCATGGGTGGAGGGAGGGGCTGGCAGGGTGCTGTACATAGCCCAGTGACACCATCACTGGGTCCCTGTGCAAAGCTGTCAGATCCTGGGTGGTGAGAGGGGCTGGCAGGGTGCTGTACATAGCCCAGTGCCATCATCACTGGGTCCCTGTGCAAAGCCGGCATATCATGGATGGTGGGAGGGGCTGGCAGGGTGCTTTACATAGCCCAGCGACATCATCACTGGGTCCATGTGCAAAGCTGACAGATCATGGGTGGTGGGAGGGGCTGGCATGGTGCTGTACATAGCCCAGTGACATCATCGCTGGGTCCCTATGCAAAGCCGACAGATCATGGGGGGTGGGAGGGGCTGGCAGGGTGCTGTATGTAGCCCAGTGACATCATCACTGGGTCCCTGTGCAAACCGACAGATCATGGATGGTGGGAGGGGCTGGCAGGGTGCTGTATGTAGCCCAGTGACATCATCATCAGAGTCATCTGACATACTAGGTTTATTGTAGTGATAGGTCCACTTTAAGGCATTTAATTACACAGGACTGGTAGTTATTGCGCAGGTATGAGGTTTGTTATCTGCGAAGCCATTAGGCTCCCCCGGAAACCATAGTGAAAAATACGCCATTCTTCTCTCGCTGTGACAGCGCACGCCGCATTGTTATACAGTAGAAGTCGCTCCGTAGTATACTATAAAAATGTCAGCGAACAATGGCAGGAAGCTGTTGACATTAAACAAGTCGTTTGGTCTCCGTGCGCAGTGTGCAGCAAACAACGTCTGTCTCGCTTACATGTATACACCATACATGACCTAGTGCACCGCCAGTGAACTTCTGATGCACCCGTGGAGAATGTCCACACGTACCCAGGAGATGTCAGGAGGGGACCCTGAGGCGGCTTAGCATGAGAGCCGCCATTTGGATATCTCTACTTCCACTTAGCAGGCCCAGGACAGATTTATGACATATTAAAAGGTATCTGTGGTCAAAAAACTAAAAATAAATCTTTATTTCTATATTGAATTTCCATAAGTTCTATCCCACTTCTAATAATATCAATCTCGATGTTTGTAAACTGAAGATGCCCATAGGATTGACTTCAACAATGCACTGACACCATTTCACTCCGAGCCTGCCTTCTAAGCTACAACTCAACGTCTGAACAATGTAACATTATCATTGCTTGCTGGAAGCAGTGCATGATGGGATATGTATCCTTTAGAAATGGAGATTGCATCACATCAAGCAGCAGTGAAAGAGACGCAAAGCACACTGGGAATCCAGGAAGTTGTTGGAAGTGATGGGCAGACGGAAGGCACCGCTCACTACATAAAAGGGATTATTTCAAGTAAACTTTGATTGTATTATCAGAAACATCTCCAATATGTGTTGCTATTACAATGCTAATGATATAAGGGGAGAGGATATGATGGAACTTAAAGGAGAACTATGGGGTCAGTGTTTTTCCCCATAGTTCTCCTTGGGGTAACGGGAGGACACAAACTAGCGCCCTCCCGTTACCCTAAGCTCAGTATACCGCGAGCTACAGCTCACGGTATACTGAGACGCCGCAGCTGGAGCGGATCCCGACGTAGATGACGGGATCCGCCCAGCTGCGTGAGTGACAGCTGGCTCTGCCTATCTAGAGGCAGAGCCAGCTGTACCCGCCCCTTCCCCCGTCCGTTCCGCCAGTCAGCGCTGGCAGATCGGAGCGGGGAGAGGGGAATCCAGCCCCTCCCCCTGTCACGGCAGAGAGCCGTGACAGGATCGAGAGGTGAGGGAACCCGGTATGTGTTTCCTCACCTCCCGATCTACTGAGCCGACCTGTGACAGTCTCATTGTCACAGGTCGGCTTAGAACTATGAGGTGAGTGGAAATCACTCATGTCATAGTTCTCCTTTAAGCAAGTCAACATGTTATAGGGGACCCCCTTTATCAGGGTTTACCAAACCACTTGCTGGAGCAATCGTACCAAGGAATGCAACAAAATTTGTCACAATTTGTAGATTTTGGGCCTTGGTGCCGCCTGTAGGCACCCTGCTGGGTGTAGGAAGTGGCCAAGAAATGCTGCTCTGTTACTACTACACCTTACAAAGAGATTTTAGACAATTATGAACTTCTAACCTTGGGGTAAAAGTTTGGTGAAGGCCCTTTTCTGTTTCAGCATGACTGTGCCCATGTAAACAAAGCCAGCTCAATAAAGACATGAGTTTGGTGTCCTCATGTGGCCTGCACAGAGCTCTGACTTCAACCCTACTGAACAAAAGCAATGAACTGGAATGCCGATCGTGAGCTATGTCTTCACATCCAGCATCAGTACCTGGCCTTGCATATGTTCTTTTGGTTGAATGGCACAACGTTTCACAGACACCCTCTGAAATCTTGTGAAAAGTCTTCCCAGAAGGGTGAAGACTGTTAAAGGAGAACTATGGGGTCAGTGTTTTTCCCCATAGTTCTCCTTAGGGTAACGGGAGGACACAAACTAGCGTCCTCCCGTCACCCTAGGCTCAGTACACCGCGAGCTACAGCTCGCGGTATACTGAGACGCCGCACCTGGAGTGGATCCCGACGTAGATGACGGGATCCGCCCAGCTGCATGAATGACAGCTGGCTCTGCCTATCTAGAGACAGAGCCAGCTGTACCCGCCCCCTCCCCCGTCCATTCCGCCAGTCAGCGCTGGCAGATCGGAGCGGGGAGAGGGGAATCCAGCCCCTCCCCCTGTCACGGCAGAGAGCCCCCGTCCGTTCTGCCAGTCAGAACGTCGGTATGTGTTCGCTCACCTCCCGATCTACTGAGCCGACCTGTGACAGTCTCATTGTCACAGGTCGGCTTAGAACTATGAGGTGAGTGGAAATCACCCCCTCATAGTTCTCCTTTAAAGCTGCAAAATAAGGAACCAACTCTATATTAATGCCCATGGTCTTTGAATGGGATGCCCAAAAAGCACATATAGGTGTGATGGTCAGGTGTCCACATATTTTGGCCATATATTGAAGCCTGTGCCATTTTCAGACCTAGGTTCTCCACCTGTTCCCTTCCATGCCTTCCCATCCCCCTCAATGCATGTGCACGTCGTTTCAGGGTTGTATTGAAACAAATCTAAAAAAAAGGAAAGTTACATTTCGTCTAATTATTTTTTAATTTTTAATAATGTGGTCTGCTCCAAGGAGTCGATGTTGCTGTGCTCTTTGCCTTATGAAAAGTAGCTTAGGGAAACAGTTCAATAAAAGTTATGCCCCCAATAGAACAAAAAGTCTTGCCCCCCAATGGATGATAAAGTTTTACAACCAGGATCTTCCCTTGCCTATTCTTGGTGGCTGCATTTGTTACTCAGCAGATGTAAAGTAGGACAGGGTACCCACTTCCTCATTGCCTGACAACCTGGGCAGCCCTTTGCTGATGCCAAAGCCACATTGAACTGTACATAGCACTACTGCTAGGGTTGCCACCTGTCCAGGTTTCACCCGGACAGTTCGGGTTTTGAATGCTGTGTGCGGGTTTCATGGCGCCAGGAACCCGGACACAAGATGTCAGGCAGACAGGGGCAACCAAAATTAAGATAGGGGCTACTGGCCCCCCACTGAAAATAGTCTCAACTGTGTTATTTACATATTAATGGGTGATGCCCATTACATATGAATAAGCCACGACTTATTCTCGCAAAAGAATATGTCCATGTGATGCTATAGTGTTCGGGTTTCGTTTGAAGAAAAGGTGGCAACCCTAACTACTGCA